CGTGTATGTTTCCCTGTGCTATACAGTATAATCTTCTTTATCTATTCTGCAATGTTGAAATCCTGTCTATCCCTTCCCACCCTCTGCCCCCTTGGCAACCACAAGTTGCCATATCTATGAGTCTATTTCTGTTCTGTGTTTATGCTTTGTTTTTGTTGGTTTTGTTTTAGTTTTTGTTTTTTAGATTCTACATATTAGCGATCTCATATGGTACTTTTCTTTCTCTTTCTGGCTTACTTCACTTAGAATGACATTCTCCAGGAGCATCCATGTTGCTGCAAATGGTGTTATGTTGTCGGTTTTTATGGCTGAGTAGTATTCCATTGTATAAATATACCACTTCTTCTTTATCCAGTCATCCGCTGATGGACATTTAGGCTGTTTCCATGTCTTGGCTATTGTAACTAGTGCTGCCATGAACATTGGGGTGCAGGTGTCTTTTTGAAGTAGGGTTCCTTCTGGATATATGCCCAGGAGTAGGATTCCTGGGTCATACAGTAAGTCTATTCCTAGTCTTTTGAGGAATCTCCATAGTGTTTTCCACAGTGGCTGCACCAAACTGCATTCCCACCAGCAGTGCAGGAGGGTTCCCCTTTCTCCACAGCCTCTCCAGCATTTGTCATTTGTGGATTTCTGAATGATGGCCATTCTGACTGGTGTGAGGTGATACCTCGTTGTAGTTTTGATTTTCATTTCTCTGATAATTAGTTATATGGAGCATTTTTTCGTGTGCCTATTGATCATTTGTATGTCTTCCTTGGAGAATTGCTTGTTTAGGTCTTTTGCTCATTTTTGGATTGGGTTGTTTGGTTGTTTCTTATTAAGTCGTATGAGCTGCTTATATGTTCTGGAGATCAAGCCTTTGTCAGTAAAAACCCTTCATTTTTACTCCCTCTGACACATTTAAGGTTTTGACATCTTTGCATCTTTTGTTCTGTGCATTCCTCAACTACTTATTGTGGATATACACACTATTTCTATTTTTGTATCTTAACCTGCCTACTAGCTTTCTAAGTGATTGATCTACTATGTTTACTGTATGTTTGCCTTTATCATTGAGATTTTTCCTTTTGTAGCTTTCCTATTTCTGGATATGGTCTTTCTTTTTTTTTTTTTTTTCCATTTGGAAAAGTCCCTTTATCATTTCTTATAAAGTTTGTTTAGTGATACCTAACACTTTTAGCTTTAGCGTCTCTGCAAAACTCTTTTATCCCTCCTTCAAATCTGAATGGCAGTTTTGCTGAGCAGTGTGTTCTTGGTTGTAGGTTTCTTCCTTCCATCACTTGGAGTATTGTGGCCTACAGAATCTCTGGTGCAGTCTGTTGACTGCATTATGCAGTTTCCCTTGTGTGTAACTAGTTGCTTTTTTCTTGCCTCTTTTAAGATTCTCTCTTTATCTTTAATTTTTGCCATTTTAATTATGATTTGTCTTGGAGTGGACCTCTTTGGGTTCATTTTGATTGGGACTCTCTGTGCTTCCTGGACCTGGATATCTGTTTCCTTTCCCAGGTTAGGGAACTTCAGATAAGTTCTCTGCCCCTTTCCATCTTTCTCCTCTCCTTGGAACTGGTATAATGCAAATGTTAATATGCTGGATGTTGTCCCAGAGGTCTCTTAAACTATTCTCACTTTTTAAAATTCTTTTCCTTTTCAGCTGGGTGATTCCACTACTCTGTTTTCCAGTTCTCTGATCTGTTCCTCTGTATCATCGAATCTACTGCTGATTCCTTCTAGTATATTTCTATTTCACTCATTATATTCTTCAGTTATGGTCTTCTTTATATTTTCTAAGTCTGTTAAAATTCTCACTGTGTTCATCCACTCTTCTGTCAAGTTTATTGAGCATCTTTATGATCATTACCTTGAACTCTTGATCAGGTAGATTGTTTATCTCCATTTAGTTTTTTTTTTCCTGAGGTTTTTGTCTTTCTTCATTAAGAACATAATCCTCTGCCTCCTCATCTTACCTGATTCTCTTTGTTTATTTCTATGCGTTAGTCGGGGGTTGTATTTCCTGGTCTTGGAGAAGTGGCCTCATGTAGGAGACATCCTATGTGGCCCAGCAGCACACTCCCCTCTGGTCACCAGAGCTGCTGCTTTAGGGGTGCCCCCTGTGTGGGCTACATCGTCCCTTCTGCTGTATTGGGGCTGAACACTGTGGGTGTGCTGGTAGGCGGGGGTGGCCACCAGCCGGCTGGCTGCCAGGCCCTGCTTTGTGTGTCTGCTGGGAGGGGCTGGGTCCTGGTGAGGCTGGCTGCAGGGCCCGGGGAGGGGTTGGTCCCGGGGCTGGTGCAGGCCCATTGGTAGGTGGGTAATCCCCTGGCACTCACAGGCCAGAGGGAGGCCTCCGAAGTGTGCTTTGCGAGCAGTGTCCTGAGGGTTGAAGGAGCTCCCAGAAATGGCTGCCGCAGTGTCTGTGACCCCAGGGGGTGTCCCCATTGCCTCCTGTCTCTCCAGTAGGCTCTCCAAGATCAGCAAGTGGGTCGGACCCATGCTCCTTTCAGATCTCTGTGTCTGTGCGGGGTCTCCGAGTATGTGAGATTTGCACATCACCTTTAAGGACAGAGTCTGTTTCCTGTCGCCCTCCAGCTGTCCTGTACACACGCCCCACTGGCTTCCCAAGCCAGCTGTTCTGGGCGCTTGTCTTCCCAGTGTAGGACCCCTCCTGAACTGGGAAGGCCAGTCTGGGATTCAGCCCTTCATTCCCTGGGGAGAGCCTCTGTGATTGTGATTTTTCTCCAATTTGTGGGTCACCCACCCAGGGCTGTGGGTCTTGAATATACCACATCTTCAGCCCTCCTACCTGTCTCTTTGTAGTTCCTTCTTTCTATCTTTTTATTTAGTTGTGAAAAATCTTCTCTGCTAGTCTTCAGGTCATCATCATGGATCGTTCTGTGTAAGTAGCTGTCATATTGG